AAGACTGTGGTGTAACGCGAGTAGTCGTCAACCACCAACAGGAAGTAGCGCTCATGACCGAGTCCACGGACGCGGGCAGGGCCCCACACGTCCATGTGAAGCGTCTGCAACAGAGCCTCTGTCGGAGGAAACTCGGAGGAGTGAGGGGCAGCACGCTCGCGCCCCTCGACACAGGGGACACAGGCAGGGCCAGGGCCCTGAGGAAGGGGAGGTAGAGACCGGGGGAGACCAGACACAAGAAGACTGGAGGCCATGCCTCTGAGCCGAAGCAGAGAGGGGTGGCCAAGGCGGTGGTGCCAGAGGAGGGTCTCGTGAGACAGACGGCGACACGAACAGGGGGCAGACTCAGGACCAGACCTGGACGCTGCAGCAAACACCTGACCAGACGAAGGGACCCTACCAGACTCAGCACGTAGAGGAGAAGCAGTGGTCAGTATGTACAGGCTCGACCCTGGCTGACGTGTAAACGTAGCCAGGTGACGACCCGTGCTAGCCTCTGTGCAGTGCGTCACTCGCTGACGAGCAGGGGTGAACTGGTGGACTCCCGCATCCTGTAGGTCAGCACCACTCACCAAGTTCGTAGAGAACGAGGGGAGGTAGAGACCAGACAGGGTGCCAGAGGGAGCCGCCGGACACGGGAGGACTGTGGAGAAGCGAGACAGGACAGGACCCCCAGAGGGGTCAGCCAGGGAAACCACAACCGGCCGACTAAGCGGCGTAAGTGTGGTGCGGTCCCGAAAGAAAGAGCGAGACGCTCCAGAGTCAAGAGTGAAGGTGTGAGAGGCCCAAGCCGACGCAGTACTTGAGAGCGCAGACGCACTAGTACCTGAGAGAGCATCCTCACGAGCACTAGAGAGCACAGACGCACTGGCACCTAGAGCAGAAGCCTCACCGGCACCTGGAGCAGCAGTACCAATGCCCGGGTCGGGCGGGAAACACCGGTAACAGTCACCCTCATCACTAATGGTCACAGCATACATGGCAGCAAGGATAGCATCAAAATCAAGATCAAAGATAGCTACACCAGCCCTAGACAGCTCTCCCCAGCGGGGGATCTTTGCGGCCTCCGGGAACTGCTGACGCCAAGCGTCCGTCAGGCGGCCAAAGCAGCGCTGGGCGGGGTGGGCACCCCCACACTGCTCTCCAGTGCGGAGAACGTAGGTGCAGGGACCAAAACCCCCACCGCGCTGACGCTGCGTGTACCACTCACGGAGCTGCTGAGGGGTGGGGACGTCGCGAGAACGCTGCTGCTGCTGCTGCTGCTGCTGCTGCTGCTGACCGCCACCAGTGCCGCTCCGCTGCGAAGCTCCACTCCGACCACCTCCACCTCCGCCACCCCCGCCTCCGCCTCCACCGCCCCCGCCTCCGCCACCTCCGCTACCACCGCCACCACCGCCGCCGGCAGTACCCGCCTCCACTGCCGCCACTAGCACCCCCACCCCCGCTACCACCTCCACCGCCACCCCCACTCCCTCCGCCGCCTCCACCTCCACCGCCCCCACTGGCCCCACCCACTCCCTTGCCCCCCTTGCCCTTGCCAGAGCGGCGTCTCCCGCTAGGGGCAGACGCCGCACCGACCGACTCAAGACCAACGAGGTCGGCCGCAGCGGCAGAGGCGACAGAGGGCAGGAGAGGGGAAGGAGAACACCCCTCAAAGATGGGGGCGCGGGTGTCACCTCGAGAGGCTCCTACAGCAACTATGCTCTTCTCTGCTGCAAGGAGGGCCTTCTCGAGGCTGTCGACTGTGAGGGTGGTGGGACAGACCGCGAGGAAGTGGTCCCGGACTACACGAAGGGAGTCAGGGAGGCGAGTGACTAGGAAGTAGAGAGTGATGTACATGGGGGGGGGGGTTCTTGGCGCAGAAGTCAGCAGGAAGCGCAGCGCGGTAGCGAGTGTCACTAGTGCGGAGGTGCGTGAGAGATCAGCGACAGTGGGAAAGGTGGCAAGGTCAGGGAAGAGGAAGGGGAGCATGAGGCGGCTCAGTGCAGCAGTGGCAGGGGAGGAGTAGCGCGCAACTACAGCGTCGTACAAGGTCTGAGCACTCTTGTACTGGCTAAAGTGCGCGCGCTCAGCGGTAGGCAGGTGGCGACGCACAGCAAGACGTGCAGCAGCATCGCGCGTGGCCCACTGAGAGCGAACAGTGGCGTCAGCATCAGCAGCAGGGGCAAGGACGGCGCCAGAGGTGAGGTCAAAGAGAGACAGACCGTCGGCCCTGTCGCACTGTAAAAACAGCTGCAGGTCATCGAGCCAGACCTCAAAGTCAATGGCTCGACCCTCAGCGTCAAATGCGAGGACACTGGGTGTAGCCATGACGACGACACTGGCGGAGTGCAAGCAGTAGGGGAAGGGTACGCAGTGACAGCAGTGCAGTGCTCACCGGGCAGGGCAGGTCGGGCGGCTCGGGAGGAAGGTCGCCTGGCGACACGGCCGCTAGGCTGCTGGGCGGCTCGGCTCCCGGGCGGCTCGGCTGCTGCTGGGCGGCTCGGCTGCTGCTGGGCGGCTGTGCGGCTCCTGGGCGGCTCGGCTGCTGCTGGGCGGCTCGGCGGCTCCGGGCAGCTCGGCTGCTGCTGGGCGGCTCGGCGGCTCCGGGCGGCTCGGCTGCTGCTGGGCGGCTCGGCTGCTGCTGGGCGGCTCGGTGGCTCCTGGGCGGCTCGGCTGCTCCGGGCGGCTCGGCTGTGACTGGGCCGCGTAGGTAGGGCGGCCGGGCGGGCCGCAGGTAGGGCGGCGGGTAGGCCGCAGGTAGGGCGGCGGGACGGCCGCAGGTAGTGCGGCGGGTAGGCCGCAGGTAGGGCCGCGGGACGGCCGCAGGTAGGGCGGCGGACGGCCGCAGGTAGGGCGGCGGGTGGGCCGCGATAGAGTGGCGGGGCCGCTCGAAGGAGTGGCGGGGCCGCGACGAAGTGGCGGGGCCGCGCGAAGAGGTAGCGGGGCTGCGACTGGGTGGCGGGGCCGCGACGGAGTGGCGGGGCCGCTCGAAGGGGTGGCGGGGCCGCGACGGAGTGGCGGGGCCGCGACAGAGTGGCGGGGCCGCGACGAAGGGGCGGGGCCGCTCGAAGGGGTGGCGGGGCCGCTACGGGACGGCGGGGCCGCTAGCAAGGGCGGCGGGTGGGCCGCTAAGGTAGGGCGGCGGCTGGGCCGCGAGTAGGGCGGCGGTCGGGCCGCGAAGTAGGGCGGCGGGGCCGCAAAGGAAAAGGGCTACTCGGAGGGTCGCTAAAAAAAAGGCGCGCGCCTCGGGCGCGCTTCGGTGGGCCCTAAAGAACAGTCCCTAGGATGGGACCTGCTCTGATTCCATGTGAAGAAAGGAACGTGAATGAAATGACTACGAATGAAGTGAGTACAAATAGGAAACCCTAGTTGGGTTGTACCCCCTATGGGATACCCCACTATAGCCTACACAAATAAGTAAGCTATAATATTCTGACAGAGGCTGCGGCAATGGGGTGCTGAAGCCCCTTAAACCCCTCGCCCCTCCCCTTTCCTCCTCCTCATCGCCGCCTCTGCATCTGCAGTGTGCGCCGCGTTGGGCGGGGGTGGGAGGGAGGGGGAGGGGAAGGGGGGGGGGGGGAAGGGTGGGTGGGTGGGTGGAGGGATTGTGGGGGTGGCGGGACAGTTAAGACAGCCGCCCCTCCTTCCTCTACCTTCCGCTGCACCTATTTTTCCTCTCCTTCTCCTCCTCTGTTTCGTCTCTCTCGACCATCGTACAACAAGTCACCGCCTTTCTTTAGCTCTGTCGTTTCTGGGCATGTTCGCTCCGGTATGCGCACATCGAGCACCCTAAATTCTAGCAGCCGGTCACCTATCGTGAGGGTTCAACCACGGTTATCCAAGCTGCTGCTTGGTTATTGAACTCTATGAGTGACGTCCCCTCACTTGCTATAACCTGCATGCAATTAAGGGGGGATGTTGAATTTATGAATGTATGTCGAGATATCTAGTGTAGTATCATCTTAGTATTGTCTCTTGGTGGTGATGTACCCCTCTTTGCCACCATTCCCAGCTATATCTTTTGTACCTTTCCTTGTTAGTGAAAATCCCTTCTCTTCTCTCACGTTTCTCTCGCTACTCTCGTTCTTACCCGTGGTGGCTCCTAAGTTTCGATACTTTATGTCAACAAATACCTAACCTGACCTACGCTACTAAATGCAATAGCAGAACCTGACAATCAAACTTTACATTTGGGAACTTAGATTCTGAATACAGAATGTCTTACGGTAATATTTTCCCATGACGTACCCATGTGCTACCAACTCAAGCAATTGAGCGCATGAACAAAACTGCCGCTGCCTATGTTGATTGAAGAACGTACTGGTACACCGAGATCCTAGACCATAAGCTGTTTACGAGAGCACTCTTAGCGAATTGATTCGGGGTGAGGGTTGATGGCGAAGCAAGGTTTCTAATTTGACGAGGGAACTCGTGAGACAGCTGTTCCTCCAGGGCGCATCGCGGATCACGCGAGGCCCACGGCAATGAAAGACGCGCTTGGTGCTTCAATCTTTTCCCTTCCTCCACGCAGCATTCCGCATCGCCACCAGCTTTTGTCGCATGTCTCTCACTCTCCCGCATTCCCGCGCCCTCGCGCGTCGCACTTACCGCTCCATTCTCACATTTCCGCCACCTCCCGCGTTCCCCGCCCGAGTCGGAATCGCTCCTACGCGCCCGCGTTTGCCGAGGCGGGGCGAAACAAGAGACTTTTCAGCCTCGGACGCTTGTTCTTGCCGAGCCGAGGCTACTTCGCGAGGCTGGGGTACGGAGGGGGTTCGGGAGGCCCGTCGGGTGGGGCAAAAGTCCGAACCGAAGAAAGTAGACGTTTGAAAGTCTGGTTCAGTCGGTTCGGCAGAGCGAAACGTTCGGGAGGAGGTGCTGAAAGGGCTGATCAGCATCGAGGGGTGGTGCGTTGAGCTTGCCGCACCCAATGCCGCCGAGCTTAACGCATGGGGAACAGCAGCGGGCGCAGACGAGGAAGCGGACAAGGCAAATCCACGCTGACGTGGCAGGACAGCATGGAAGAGGCTGACTGGACCACCCTTTCCTCCTCCTCTGCCCCACTTTCCTCCCCCGGCTCCCCTGCGTCCCCCACCTCCCCCACGTCCCTCGCCCCGCTGCCGCCAGTGGAGCATCTGATCCCGCTAGAGGCCGCCATTCTCGTGGCCGCGCACCCCCACCGAGCAGCCCTTACCATCGCTCCCCCCCCGGGCCTGCTCGACCTGGGCTGGCAGGCCGTGCGCCTGCACGCCCTCCGCCCCAAGCTGCTCGCCTTCTGTGCTCAGCTGGCGGAACAGCAGCAGCAGCAGCAGCAGCAGCAGCGGCGGCGGCGGCATTCTGCCTCTCGTCTCACAGCCCCCTTCACACCCCCCAACTTCAAAACACCCTGCACCACCCCCGCCCCACCCGTCATGCCCACTATCCGCCAGCTCAGAGCAGCCGGCCGGCATGACCTCATCGCTGACATCAGCGCTGCCGGCGGCCAGCTTGCAGTGGCGCAGGCGCTGGGGTTTGCCGCCCGGCGCCGCCCGACGGGTTTCTGGGAGGACTTGGGGAACGTGGACGAGGAGATCGAGGCGTTTGTGTCGCGGTTCTGGGTGGTGGAGTGCGGTGCCACGGAGAGTAGGCAGGAGGAAGCAGAGGGAGGAAAGGGGGAGGGGACCACGGAAAGTTTGTATCTGGGTCGGGTGCGGCTCCGCAACTTCTTGTCGGGGGAGGTGTTGAGTGCGGTGCTGAGGGATGAAGAGGCGGTGCGTGCTGCCATGGCCGCCGCTGCTGCTGCTGCCCGAGCTGTCGCTCTTGCTCTCGCTGCGTCTCGCGCTCGTTGCAGTGCTGCTGCTGAAGGTGATGAAAGTGGAGGTGGTACTGATGCTGCTGATGATCATAGCAGTGGTGGCGATGGTAGTGCTGTTACTGGTGATACTGCTGCTGGTGAAACAGCAGAGCCTTCCTTTTCCGAGCTGTTGCAGCGAGCCACTCGTTGGCCCTCAGATGCTGCTGCTACCGCCTTCACCAGCAGCGGCAGCAGCAGCAGCAGCAGCATCAGCGAAAGCACTGGAAGCATTGGGTGGGAAGCAGAGGGCAGTTTCAGCAGTGGCAGCGGCGGCAGCAGCAGGAGTGTGTTTGATGACGGGCAAGGGTTGGTGGTGGCGAGTGCGGAAGGCAGTGCGGTGATGCCGCGTGTGAGGGATGTGGTGGGTGCAGGGCGGTACGATCTGCACCATGCCATCGTGCTGCATGGTGGTTACCGCCTCGTGGCCAGGGAGCTGGGCCGTGAGAGTGGGTGCTGGGGCGGGCTGGAGAGTGTGGCGGTGCGTTGGGAGGGTGGTACCCTGCACCCTCACACTCAAACTCACACTCGCACTCATGGTGACGCTCACACTCACACTCACACTCTGTCTCACACTAACAATTTCGCTCACACTGACACTCACGCTCACTCTCAATCAGGGGGAAATGGTAGTGATGAAAGCGGCAACGCTGAGAGCAGCAACGGTGGGAGCAGCAGTGGTGGTAACGGCAGGCTGAGGAGGCGGGTGGGGCGGGGGGCGCGGCAGCAGATGCTGGAGGCGACAGCAGGCAGGGTGAGAGCACTCATGCTCACGCACAGCCTCTCCACCTTCCCCACCTCCTCCCAAATTCTCGCCCTTGCCGCTCCTCCAGCAACCCCAACCACTCAATCGGAGGAGCGTGGGTCACGAAACTCTCCCCGTGTCACGCCCCACGCCTCTGCCTGGGAGGGCGAGCAGCTGGTGGCATCAGAGCGGCGGTGTGGAGGCATGGAGGAGTGTGCTTCTGCAAGTGCGTCTGCCATGCCCCAAGGCCCAGCAGGTGCCTGGGAGGGCGAGCAGCTGGTGGCGGCGGTGCGGCGCAGTGGGGGCCCGGGGGCAGTGGCAGACTACCTGGGCGTGCGGCTCAGCAAGCGGGGCCGCGGGCACTGGGCAGACGAGCATGTGGCAGCTGCTGCTGTGCGCTCCTTCCTCCTCCGCCACTGGGGCCTGCTCCCCCCGTCCCTCCAACCACCCTCCCCTCAGCTACTCACTCCCCACCCATCTCACCAGCCTTCCTCCCAGCCTCTCACCCCTCCTCAACCCGCCCACTCCCCGCTGCCTCCCCTTGCTCCTCCTGATCCTCTCCTAGAATGGGACGAGGAGGAGGAGAGGGCGGTGTGGGAGGAGGCGGTGAGGGGGGGCGTGGTGGAGAGGCAGGGGCGGGGCTTCCCCACAGACGTGCAGCTGGTGGCGGCTGGGCGGCTGGACGTGAGATACATTCTGCGCAAGTTCGGCCGAGAAGCCATTGCTCAGGCCCTAGGTGCTCCGTTCCTTGTCAGGCCAAGGAGGGGGGGAGGGGGAGAAGGGGGGAGAGGGCGAGGGAGAGGGAATGAGGAAGGAAAGGTGGGAAAGGAAAAGAATGTTAGGAGGGCTAGTGAGTTTAGATATTGAGCAGTATGTCTCTGCATTTTAAATTGTTTTGCTTGCCTGCACAAGTCTATGTACACTACCCATTTGTTCTACTTTCATCAATGCTCTTCCCTCCAATTCTTGTGGAATGGAAATAACGCCCAAGCAGTGCAGTGATTCCAAGTAATTCTCGTTTCGCTTCGCCAGCCGTTTTCAACAACCCCAATCAGAGCTCACATAATTACACCATTACCACGAACGGGCGCCGTTGATCCCGCAGTCGTTCGACAGTTTCCATCGCCCCATAATCACGGTGCACAAGCCATCGTTCCCCTGGGCTCCAATGACACGCCGTGCGCCTCCCTGGTGGCCGATCGGTCCCGCATGCTCCGCCGGCTGCCCCCCATTCGCGGAACTCGCGTTTCGCACTTTCCTCCTCGCCGCGCCGCCTCGAATGCACGGCGAGCAGTGGCCGCGCTCAAGCTCTTCCCCCGTGACGGGCAGCGGAGAGCTTGACAGCGCGCTGGCTGCGAGGATGGCGCTGCGCTGAGTCCGCCGCTTTTCACTTGCGCAGGTGCACGGCGGAACGTCGCGAGAGTGTAGATACTACGCTCGGGGGATTCTGAATTCACTCATCAGTTGGTGGCACTGCGACGTAGGCAGCGCCACTCACTTGATAAGATACGCACTTCAGCATATTCACATTCGCTCCCAAGCCCCGCATTCAAGCGACTGAAGCCTCGTCGTTTCTTCTTTCCAAGAAGCTCTCTCACGTCTCCTCTTCCAGCCCACGCCACACACGCGTCCTCTCCTACTCAGAGCTTTTGAGAATTCTCGAAAGCGCCTCCTCTTCTACAGAGTGCGCTGCTTGTCTTGTCGCCTGGTCTTGACGCGCCTCTCCTCTCGTATCTCGCCTCTCGCGCCATCATGGTCGTCCCATCACCGCATGCCACAGCCCTGCTGCCCGTCCTCCTCCCCCTCCTCCTCTACCTCCTTGTCCTCCTTCCCCCCTCCGCCTGCGCCCTCTCCCCCAGCTTGCCGGAATCCTCCCCCTTGGAAAAACCCGCCGAAGCGCCGACAACGCTCCCCCAGCCAGCATCACACGCTTCTCTCCCCGCTCCTGCGTCGCTTCCCACGCCTGACGGAGTGAAGAGTGCAGGTCCTTCCCCCGTGGCGGTAAAGGCAACGGCAGAGGAGCTGGCAGCACCGTCGCTCCCCCAGGCAGCACCACCCGCCTCTCTCTCCGCGCCCTCATCTCTTCCCCCACCATCTGCACCCTCCTCACTCCCCGCACCACCAGCTGTTGCATCAGCCCCACTGCCAGCAGCAGCCCCATCATTGCCCCAGGGATCCGCACCCGCTTTGCTGCCTGCGCCACAACCGAGTGATGGTGACAAGAGTGCAGGTCCTTCCCCCGTGGCGGTAAAGGCAACAGCGGAGGAGCTGGCAGCACCGTCGCTCCCCCAGGCAGCACCACCCGCTTCTTTCCCCGTGCCTGCGCCTCTTCCCCTGCCAACTGGACCCTCCCCTCTCCCTGCTCCTCTAGCTGTTGCATCAGCCTCACTGCCTATGGCAGCCCCGTCACTCCCCCAGCCCTCCACAGCTGCTTCTCTCCCTGCTCCCACATTTCTTGCCCCACCTTCTGCACCCTCGCTACTCCCAGCGCCAGCAGCAGGTTTGTCGGCTCCCCCACCCAAGGCGCCCCCATCGCTGCCCCCCATACCTGCACCTGCTTCTCTGCCTGTACCACTTGCAAAAGAGGAGACTGCAGATGGGAGTGAAACAGCAGAGAGGGAGAAGATAGGAAACGGGGCTAACTGGGAGGAGCGTAGGCTTTTGAGGGGTGTTCGCAGGTCATGAGAGATCTGAGGGTGTGAAAACTGAGGTGAAGTACTCAAGGCACTAAGGAGGAGGGGGAAGAGAAAGGGGATGCAAAGGTGTTGAGGAGAGGGTTGACGAAGGGAGACTAAGAGGACAGCGGTGCATGAAATGGCTTTAGTGAAAGAAGCTAGAAACGCTACCAGGTAGAAGTTTCCTAGTTGCACGGTGCACCACACAAGGTACTTGTAAGGAAAAATTCATTTTCCTTACTTCGCGTCCCTCCTCAGCGCGTACAACACTGTTCCCGCCAACAGCACCCAACAGTAATCCGTTACCACTCGCAACATTCGCCTCGACACTGTTCCCGCCACTGTTCACGACGCGACCCAACCTCACGGTTCGGTTGGTAACCCGCGCTCCGGACCTCCGCCTCGTCATTTCCCAACCTCGACGCCAGGCTCATTGCGCACCCCATTTTCACACATTACCGTTACCACTGTAGTTTCGCTATACATTCTTCGCTCATGCCTTCGCTCATTGTACTCTTGCTTCGATAGTGCAATTCTCGTTCGTTCACTCAATTGTACTCGTAATACTTGGTATTCAGAGCCTACGATGTCTTCTCCGGCCGCACCCACACCTTCGTTTTCCCCGCTATCTCAATTTTTTTGGGGGGGTAGACGTCTCTCAGCGAAACACGCACCGCTGCTCGTAGTGCTCTCTCGTAAGCACGCACGGCCACGACAGAGGCTCTCGCTGAGTTTGCCCTGTCAGATATATATGACATAGTGTTTGTAGGCTCTAGTGGGGTAGACACTAAGGGGTGCAGGTTTCTAGGGTTTCACATTTGTATCACACTTTCCTAGTTCAATCATTCCTCGTTATTTAACATGGTATAGAGCAGGTTCCCTAGTGGGAACGCTTCCTAGGGCCCACCACTAAAACCTTTTTTATTTTTCCATACCTACCCGGAGCGTGCTTCGCGCCTGCCCTGGTCGCGCCCCGTGCGCCTGCCCTCCCGTCGCGTCCCCTGCCCTTAGCGGCCCGTCGCGCCCTCTTAAAGCCCCTTCGCGGCCCCTCTCACGGCCCTTCACGGCCCCTTCGCGGCTCCTTCGCAGCCCCTTCGTGGCCCCTTCGCGGCCCTTCGTGGCCCCTCTCACGGCCCTTCGCGGCCCCTCGCGGTGATAAGAAACGAGGAATGAGTGCCATTGAGCAGAATGAGGAGTACAAGTAGTAAACCCTAAAGTGTTGTACCCCATATGAACTGCCCCACTACAGCCTACACAGACTATAGCATATATGCCTGACACACCCCCATAGGCAAAGTGGGGGAGAACAAGGGGTCACAAGACCAGTCAAGCAAAGCAAAGCAAATTCAGGGTGGATTACAACGTCACCACACAGTCCGAGCACAAGAGCAAGGCCACAAGGCCAGTTCACATGCAAGATCATATATATCAAGGTAAACAAGCAAGTGCAAGTATAGAAAGAGTACAGTACAAACAAGGTCAAGAAGTGAGCAAGTGACGCCAAGCAGGCACAAAACCTAGCATAGCATAGAAGCGCTGATGATCACAAGGCAGAAGGGCCTTGGTAAAGATATCAGCAGTGTTGGCCTCAGAGGCCACGTAGGTGAGGCGGAGCTGACCACGCTGCTGCAGCTCACGAGCCAGGAAGTAGCGAAGAGCAATGTGCTTCGTTCTGTGCTCTAGTCTGTGCTCCCGACACAAGGCCAGCATGGCCTTGTTGTCTACGTACAGATTTAGAGGAGAACGAGGCGGCTCTCCTAGGTCATTCAGCAGGTAGGTGAGCCAGCGTAGCTCCTGTGCAGCCATGGCCTCCGCGTAGATCAGCCTCACAGCTGGAGGTGAGAACAGAAGACGAGCGGGTAGACCGCCACGAAACGGAGCCGGAGCCAAAGCTGAAGGTGTAACCCTGTGACGACCGATGTGTCGGCTGGTCGTCAGCCCAAGAAGCGTCTGCGTGACCTGTGAGGACCACTCGACGCCGCCCTCCAAGCACTAGCCCCATGCCCGACGTACTGCACAAGTAGTGCAACACCCTCTTCGCTGCAGCCATGTGCTCTAGTCGGTGTCTCCCAGGAGCAACATAGCGTGCCAAGATGCTAAGAGGGTATGCAAGGTCAGGTCGTGTACACGTCATCAGGTACATGAGGCAGCCAACAAGCTCTGGGTACGGGCCACTCGGCTCTACGGACTCATCCAAAGGCAGAGCTGAGAGCGAGTTGCGAGTAGACAAAGGAGTGGCCTGAGGCGAGGAGTACGTGAAGCCGAAGCGCTGAAGGACCTGCTGCACCATGTGTGACTGAGTCAGGGTAATGGTGCGCTGTGCTCTGTCCCGGGTGATCTGCAAGCCAAGGTAGCTGCGCAGTTCACCTTGGTCTGTGCACGTGTGTTTCTTCTGCAGCTCGGACTTCACGTGGGCGAGTCCAGCAGTGTCAGCAGTGGCAAAGACCAAGTCGTCGACGTACACGAGGATGTAGAACGGCAGCAAAGAGGTGTCGGTGCGCAAAAACAGCGACGGGTCGGCTGTAGAAGGAGCAAACCCAAGAGCCGCAAGTGTAGTCCTCAGTGTGTCGTGCCACTCACGGGGCACCTGGCGGAGACCGTAGACTGGCCGCCTGAGGCTCCACTGGATACCACGAGGAAATGACCCAGTGAAGCCATGTGGGCGGCGCAGCCAGATCTCCTCGTGCAGGTTGTGTTGTAGGAAAGCTGTGCTGAAGTCAAGAGAGTGAAGCTCGTAGTCGCACTGAGCGGCTATGTGCAGCAGCACCCGAAGAGTGGTCATCTTCGGGGTGGGAGAGAAGGTATGAAAGTAGTCAACTCCCTGCCGCTGACTGAAGCCTCGAGCCACGTAACGCGCCTTGAAGACAGGAGGAGAACCCGGCGGCCGCTTCACCCTGAAAATCCACATGCCACTGACAATGTTCGCCTCAGGTGGGGGAACCTCGTCGACGTAGGTGCCGGTGGACATCCAGGAAGCCATCTTTGCGTCCATGGCTGACTGCCACTGAGAGGAGTAGGGACCCTCGATCGCCTCAGCGTACGATCGAGGAGTCGGGATGTCTAGTGCATCCGGGTCTCCCTCAGGGGCAATCAGCGTGGACACGAGATGAGGCAAAGCAGCAGCTAAACACTGCAACTCCTCCTGCCTGTCCTCAAGGACGTCCGTGCTAAGAGCGCACTCACCCCCGACAGACAGAGGACAGACAGACTCAGACTCAGCAACAAGACTAGCGGCGTAGTCTAGATGGCAGCGAGCAGCAAAGTCGACAAGCTCAGCAACCAAGGCAGACGCAGCTTTGAACTCAAAGGAAGGGTCAGTGACAACCGTGGCCAGGAGACGCGTGACAGTAGGACGGGCAGCACGAAGAGAGTCAGACTCCGGGTCAGCAAGAACAGGAAGAGAGGACTCTGGAGGAGACGACAATGGGACACGCAGAGGAGAAGTGGAAGGGCGCAGTGCCATCTAGTGTGTGCATGAGACCGCAGGAGGACGCGGACGCGGAACACGACTACTAGTGCGAGCAGAACGAACAGGCGACGCAGGACGAGACAAGCTCAGCCACTAAGGCAGACACAGCAGTGGACTCAAAAAAAGGGTCAGTGACAACAGTGGCAAGGAGACGCGTAACAGTAGGACTGGCAGCACGAAGTGAGTCAGACTCTGGGTCAGGAAGGACAAGAAGAGAGGACTCTTGAGGAGACGGCAACGGGACACGCAGAGGAGCAGTGGAAGGACGCAGTGCCATCTGGTGTGTGCCTGGGGGAGCCATCGGAACCAGCAGCAATAGTAGTGCCTCCAGCTCCAGCAGCACGACTCCAGCGCCGGGCAAACCACTCGCGCAGCTCTTGCGGAGAGAGTGGCTCCCGCCTCGACGAAGCACCCCCGGCGGCCACACGAGCAGATCCAGCGCCCCCAGGCTCCGCACCCCCATGCTCCGCACCCCCAGGCTCCGCACCCCCAGTCTCAGCACCCCCAGGCACAGCACCTTCGGTCTCAGCACCCCCAGGCTAAGCACACCCAGACTCAGCACCCGCAGGCTCAGCATCTCTAGACCTACCACCCGCAGGCTCAGCACCTCTAGCAGCACCAGACTCAACAGCTACCTTGACAGGCTCAACTGTGTCTACCTCGCACACACCTGATGGGGCAGGACCCTGAAGGGGGAGGGGGTCTACTGGGGGAGGACCTGGCACAAGGAAGAGCGGCGGTGGGGGAAGGGGCGCAGTGCAGTAGGGGAAGAGACAGTAGTAAGGCACCGACTCGTCAAAGGTTACGTCCTCGGAGGACAGAACACGACGCGAGGTGGGGTGGTAAAACTTCCACCCAGGCGCGTCAGGGGGGAAGCCGAGGAAGACGCAGGGAACAGCACGGGGGGACAGCTTGTCCGCAGACAAGTCGCGGACAAACGCCCGAGATCCCCACACCCGAAACGCAGACGCATCGCCAACCTTCCCCGTCCACCGCAAGGCGGGGGAGGTCTTTGGCAAGGAGACCCGGGGCTAAAGGTTGAGCTGATGCGCGTTGTACTGAACCGCAAACGGCCACAGAAAATGGGGGGCAGCCGCATGGATCATGGACGTACGAGCGACGTCCATGACCATGCCAATGCGGCGCTCAGCAATCCCATTTTGCTGTAGAGAGGCCGGAAGCGTGAAGGTCTGGCAGATGCCCTGTGCCCGACAGAAGGCTCCCAGACGGGCAGAGGAAAACTCCCCGCCTCTGTCAGAGTGCAGACGCAGAACAGGAAAGTCGGAGCCGAAACTCTCTCTGAGCTGGAGACAAGCTGTGCAGATCCAATCGATCAACACCTCAGTGACGTCACCCTTGCTGCGCAAGGGGAAGACTATGGTGTAACGCGAGTAGTCGTCAACCACCAACAGGAAGTAAGGCTCGTGTCCTTGTCCACGGACGCGGGCGGGGCCCCACACGTCCATGTGGAGAGTCTGCAGCGGAGCCTCTGTCGGAGGAAACTCGGAGGAGTGAGGGGCGGCGCGCTGTCGCCCCTCGAC